GACAAGATCTCCTTCATATATAAGAATAATATTAAATTTTCAATTCTTAGATTCAATGTATAACTTATGATAATTAATAGTTATTAGGATAGTAAATCCATATCATTATAACATATTTTACTATCTATAAAAAAATATAATTTGTTATATAATGTAATTGGTATAATACTACTGTTTATTCCTATACATTAGTTTTTTTTGTGTGATTCTATATATTAGTTATTCACATATTAATAATATGTAATTCAATGTTTTTAATTAAAATTGGACATACAACTAATAATGATTTTATAAGACCAAAATAATTAATTTTCGTATGGACTTAGATATCTTAGGGTAACTAGATACAAGAAAATTGTATACAAATAATACTATTATCAACAGAAATCCTGTTTTTAAATTTGTCATCATATATCAGGGGAAAAATTAGCGATAAATTTAATTTTTCATCGCAAATCTTTTTTACTTTAATATGCTTTTTCCTTTTTTTTTTCATTAAGATTATCATTATGTTTTTGTGGTGTTAAATATGCTCCTTGTATATATTTGGAGCCTTTGGTCATTATCAAAACAAAATGCACCAACCCTCTCCCAAGAAAGCTCTTGAATATATGAGCACTTATTTTAAAATGACTTCTTAAATATATATATGATTAAGTGCTTTAAAAATAATTAAGGACCATACATAAATATTACAACTATTAAAGTTTTCAATATGAATATCTTTTTAGAAAATGTAAGTACACTTATTTAAAAATAATAAAGTATATACATAAATAAATATCTACAACTATTAATAGTAATTTAAATTTACATAAAAAATTATAGAATTAACAACAAACGCAATCAAATAAAATATGAGTTTGATAAATCTAAGAAGTCAATTTGCTGCTATAAGGAGGTAACGAATGATCTACTATTTGAGAATGAAGATTAATTTTGTTTTTTAATCTTAGTAATTTGAAAGTTAAATAATTCTTTAATTTCATATATAATTACTATTTTCTTCCATAATCATATACAATTACTATTTTTCTATATTTAAGAAAAATGTAACTGTTACATTTGACATTAACTTTTCTTTGCCTAATAGTGTTGGACAACTCTTGACATGATTTTTCGTAATTGAGCAAAAATATTCATATTTTTTTCTTGGCAACCATTTTCATTTATTTAAGCCAACTATTTTCATTTTCTTTATAATTTGAAGCAAAAATACTCATTAGATTTTTTTCGAATAATTTAATAAATATGCCAAAAAGTTATTATTACTATAGCAAGTTTCAACTCGTGGCAAAGTCTAATAATTAGCTACCAAAATTTTATGATAGCAATAAATTTGTAGTTAGATTATTCCATAATGACAAATAATTGTAGTTACTAAGCCAACTATTACCACACATTTTCAGGACTTGAAGCACAAAGAATTATTTAGCTATAATATTTTATTTTAAATAATTTAGTAAAGGTTACTTTTGCTACAACAACTCTTAGTTTGTGGCAAAAACTAATAATTAGCTACAATATTTCGTCATAGTAATAAATCTGTGGCTATATTGTTTACCTACTGCCACCGTTTTTATAGCTTGAAGCAAATGTATTTGNTACTTGCAATCTTAGTTACTAAAGAAACCATCAACTTGTGATTCAAACATTTGGGAAGCTGGTTCTGAAGAGTTTAGTGGGTCTATAGATTGTGATTGATAGGTTAACTCTCTGTGGGATTCGACTCCAGACTTGTAAACTGGATCATATTTGCAACGACCGCATTGTCCTTTTTATAAGGCATAGTTGGGCGTGATCATTTAACTACAATATTTTGTTTCAAATAATTTATTGTAGCTAAAAGGTTACTATTGCTACAATAACTTTTAATGCGTGGCAAAAACTTATGATTAGCTACGCAACTTTATTGTATCAAAAAATTTGTAGCTATTTAGATAGTTATTGCTACGATTGTTACCAATTATAGCAAAAATGAGGAATTAGCTTTACCAATTTAATTTTTGTGGCTAGCAATTTTTACGAATTTGTAAATAGCCAGAAAATTCTAATTTTTGTGGCTATTATTTGGTATTAGCCACGATTTTTAAATTTATAGCTATGATTTCGTAGCTATAAATATACTGTATTGTAGTGTTATAAGTTACATGAGTGTGCTACTTTCTACACAATACGTATAACTTATACACAATTTGATAGTAATATATATAAAGGGCATAGTAAAATATGTTGATCGTATAATTTTTTAATAAAATATATAATAAAGTATTCTCTTTAAATTTTATTAAATCAAACTTACCATGAATTGATCCATATTCAAAGAAATTATTAAGATAGAAAAATCAACATTTTTGTTTTATTTCACTTTGAACATCTTTTTCAGCCCTTCTTATTTTTTTTTCTTCTTTAAATAAGCTTTTGTTTTTCTTATTTGGTGACAATAGTTATCTTTGTGAAGCTACGATAGAGAGTTATTTTGTTTTTGTTTTTTTTTAAAAATCTTAAATTATGATGGTAAATAAGTTTCTCGGGTAGTAAATATTTATTTGAGACTAATATTTTTTTGTTTTGATAATGTCATATTCTCAGATAAGCTTCTTCTAAGCTAATACTTCAAAACATACTTAAAAAAATTTCCATCTTAAATCTTGAAGGATTGCATATTTTTGTTGAAACTGAAAAGGAAACATAATGGCATGTGAAATTAAAGTGATAAAATTATGAAACCAAAACAAATTCTAAGTTGAACATATCAACGGATGATTAAGGATTTCTATATGATAACTTTCTTTACGAAAAATGGCTTAATATGCCAGTGAATTATGCAAATTATGACAGATATGTAGTTTGGCACAAATATGCCCAAACCGTCCAATACTTACTTATTAATGTCCTTAGTTTGACTATTTTATCTTTCTTAAATAATTAAGAGTCCGATCCAACCAAACCTACTGAGCCGATCCATTATGACCCGGCCTACCCTTACTTCTAGATGACCCCACTCCTTATTCTGCTACTAATACATCCCAATCGCCACGACCAACTATCCTCCCCAAACGAGTTCCACCTAAATCACGGCCATCTCCGTTGAGGCCATCTTGATTGTCACTACATGGTATCCAATATCCATTATCTAATTCTTTTTATGCTCTCAAAATCTGTTTAAAGTTTAGCGTGTAATAAGGATGAATCACTCCTCTACCAACATATGAAGGCTTACTTAAACAAGAACTATGGCTTTGCTTTTATCCAATTAATAAATTGCTTTCTCTGAAACAATGTCAATAATATGCTGGAACTGTATCTTCTAGAAATTGAGCTCTAAATCATAGGACTGAAACAGAGAAAATCCACAAGAGGCAGTTATGGTAAAAATATTTATTTATCTTTTGTCTTGCAGGTTGTGGGGAAAAATTTCCTTTTGCATGATTATATAACCTTCATTGGTAAAAACTGGTCGCAGACACGAAGACCGTGATTTAGGTGGAACTCGTTTGGGGAGGATAGTTGGTCGTGGCGATTGGGATGTATTAGTAGCAGAATAAGGAGTGGGGTCATCTAGAAGTAAGGGTAGGTCGGGTCATAATGGATCGGATCAGTAGGTTTGGTTGGATCGGGTTGTTAATTATTTAAAAAAGATAAAATAGTGGGTTCCGTCAAACTAAGGGCATGAATGAGCAAGTATGGACGATTTGTGCATATCTATGCCAAACTAATAACAACGAGCATATTTGTCCTAATTCATATAATTCACTGATATATTAGGTTATTTTCCGTTTTCTTTATTAAATTAGCTATACAAGTCAATATTCATCTTTTTCACGAAGATATACTTTTTTTATTGCTCAAACACAAATTTCTATATAATTTTAAAAGTTTTACTTATTAAATTATGATACACGCACAATACAAGTAATTGTAGACTAGTTATATAAAAGTCGACGTGTAAATAGGTGTGCAAGTCAAAAGAATGAATCTGACTAAATCCATTGTCCTTTTCCCTGCTTCTTAATTAAGGATTTGTGGTCTTGTTGAGAGGGTTGATAGGCAGTCACGTTCTTTTTGTTTTTCTATTTTTTTTTTTTTTTTTTTTTTTTTTTTTTTTTTTTTTTTTTTTTTTTTTTTTTTTTTTTTTTTTTTTTTTTTTTTTGTTTTTGCGTGTAGAAAACTTTGTTTTTTCTCCAATCACATTCAGACGGCATAAATGTTCTAAAAGATATTATATGCAGATATTTTTCTAATGTAAATCACACTTCTTCTTTTCCTTTGGATAACTCTTATTACCGGAAAGAAAAATATTTTTTTTTAAGGAGACACCATAATTTTATCATTAATTAATGTTCAATAAGCCACAACATAATTCAGTTGCTTCTTTTATGAATAATTTTATCATCCCATCTGTCGAAATAGAAGCTAACATGGCAGACCAACATTCATTGTTGACTGTCCTCAAGCTTTCATAGAGAGAGAGAGTGAAGGTTCGAGAGGAGAAGAAATTAGAATTTTTTTTTGTGTATTTTTATTTCATCCGCTAATTTCAGTATATATACATGTATATAGAAAAACAAAACTAATAACAACGAATTACCAAATACCCTTGTAGCTAACTAACTAATTTCAAATAACTAACTAATAAATACAATACACCAATATACTACAATTTTATAATCTCAATACCCCTTCCCAAGTTGGAGGTGAGGAACTCACTGCCAACTTGTGTAGAAAGTCTGAATGTTAAATTCCTGTGTGAGCCTTTGTTAAAATATCAGCTAGCTGATCATGAGTAGAAATGTGATGAAGTGTAATCAGACCATCATGCAGCTTGTCTTGCACAAAGTGGCAATTGACTTCTATGTGCTTTGTCCTTTCATGAAACACAGAGTTCCTAGCAATGTGTACAACTGCCTGGCTATCACAAAACACTTGAATGGGATCAGTACATGGAATTGTTAGTTCCTCCAAAAATCTCTACACCCATACCAATTTTACAACCACTTTTCTTAGTGATATGTAGTCTGCTTCTGCGAAAGATAGTGAGACAGTAGTCTGCTTCTTTGATTTCCAGCTAATGGGGCTACCTCCAAAGAGCACTAGATACCCATTTACAGACTTCCTTGAGTCAGGGTATGCTGCCCAATCCGAGTCACAATAGGCAAGAGGGATCAATGGACAGAAAAATGCCTAGAGTAAGATCATTCTTCAGGTACATGAGTACATGTATAGCAGCCTTCAGGTGAGGCTTTCTTGGTGCCTGCATAAATTGGCTTAGTTGTTGTACATTGTATGCAATATCCAGCCTTGTGTTTGTGAGAAAATTGAGCTTCCCAACTAGTTTCCTATAATAGGATGGATCAGACAGCAGAGGACCCTCTTCAGCCCTCAGTTTGGTTGATGAATCTAGTGGATATGAAATAGCATAATACCTCAGGCAATCATACTCTTTCATTAGATCGGTAGTGAACTTCATTTGGGAGATCAACACTCTATCATCCTTGTAAAACATCTCTAGACCCAAGAAGTAGTGTAATTCGCCTAAGTCTTTTGTTTTGAACTGATTATGTAAGTAAGTCTTCAGTACCTTAATTTCCTCAAGATTAGTCCCAGTAAGGATCACATCATCAACATATACAACTACAAAAACTGATGACTCACCCTATTTTTTGTAGAACAAGGAATAATCATTGGCTGAATGCCTAAAATCTCTAGGATATAGGGACTTTGTCAGCTTGTCATACCACTGTCTACTAGCTTGTTTGAGGCCATACAGAAACTTCTTTAATCTGCACAGAAGCTGTATGTTTTCTACCTTCAGACCCTGTGGGATTTCCATGTATACCTCTTCATGTAGGTCTCCATGTAGGAATGCATTATTTACATCCAGCTGATGAAGATCCCATCCTTTTTTTACTGCAGTGTTGATCAGGGCTCTAACAACGGTCATCTTCACCACTGGGGAGAAAGTTTTTGTATAGTCAATCCCAGGTTCTTGTATGTATCCCTTTACCACAAGTCTTGATTTGTATCTTTCCACACTGCCATCTGCTTTGTGCTTTATCTTATACGCTCACTTGCATCCTATGGCCATTTTTCTTGCAGGCAATATAACTAGGTCCCAAGTATGGTTAAGCATATAAAACTTCAAATTCTTGTGTCATTGCTACTTGCCAGGAAGGATTCAAGGCTTCCTCCTCATAAGAGTATGGTTCACACTCATGTAAATGTTCTTAACTAATTGTTGGCTATTATGGCTCAATGTGTTGAAGGACACATAATGGTTGTTGGAGAAAAAGGCAGTAAGTGAAGTAGAAGATAATTGATGTTCAAGGTTTGTATTATCGTTTAAGTGATTGTTTAGTTATAAATTGGTAGTGTATAGACATAATCTTTGAGGCGTGAGGGTGTGTTGAGTGTCCTACTTGATCTTCTATATTTATTGGTTGGTTGATCAATATTAGGCTCTATGTTATGTGGTGCTTGGTTGAAGGGTCCTATGTGGAGTTCTGAGTGTTATACAAGTAAAACGCTTGGTTCTGGATTTAGGCTTACATGTGAAATATGATTTAGTGTGTTTGTAGAATTTGGCAATGGGTTAATGTCTAGTGTATTAGATATAAGACTTTCAATGACAGAAGTTGATGCATCTCTATCATGACTACAATGATCATCAAGTGTATTTATTGTGGAATTGGGACATGAGAATTGCGGTTTATCCAACACAGAAGGAAAAGAGGAATGTTTAGGTAAATGGCAAAAGGAAAAGCATCTTCATGAAACATAACATCTCTAGACACATGTACCCTCTTTGTGGCTAAATCAAGGACCTTATATCCTTTGGTCCCAAAGGGATATCCTACAAACACATGAGGAATGGCTCTAGGTTCAAATTCATCTTTGTGAGTTTTGAGTGTGGTAGCATAACAAAAGCAACCAAAACTTCTAAGATGTGAATAGGTTGGTTATCTATTGTAAAGGAGCTCAAATGGGCATTTAATGTTGATAATTGAAGAAGGCAGTCTATTTATCAAATATGTAGCAGTTAGTATACACTCTCCCTAGTACCTCATTGGCAATTTGGATTGATAAAGTAAGGCTCTAGCTGTTTCTAGCAAGTATTTGAGTTTTCTCAACCACACCATTTTGTTGTGGTGTGTATGGGCAAGTTTTCTGCTACATTATACTTTTCTTTTGAAAAAATGGCATGGCTTCATTGTTCACAAATTCCAGCCCATTATCTGACCTTACAGTTTTGATTGATGTACTAAACTGATTTTCAATAATGGAAATAAGAGCTTTGATAGCTTGAAGAGTGTTACTTTTGCTACTTAAGAGATGAGTCCAAGTTGATCTACTAAAGTCATCAACCATGGTAAGAAAGTATTTGTAATTGTCATGTGTGGTTATGTGATAGAGACCCCATAAATTTATGTGTAAGAGTTCAAATATTTTGGTGGTGGATGAAGTTCTTTGACCAAAAGGTAACCTTGTCTGCCTTGCCATGAGACATGCATGGAAAGTGAATGGCTGTTTGTGGGAAAATTCAACAGGTATAGTGGAAATAGTTCTCATTTTTACAAAGGGTACATGGCCTAGCCTATAATTAAATAAATGCTCATTGTTATTTTTATGATATGATGAAGAAAACAAAAGAGAACTCACATTAAAGGAAGAGTCAGTTTTATTGCTTGAGTGAAGAGTATTTACATTGACATTGTTATGTAACTGAGATGACTTATTTACACTTGACAAGGATTGCATAGGTGAATTGTGACTCTTTCCTATATTTACAACATTTCCTATATTTACAACATCAGTCAATGCAAGAAAACAAGAATGAGAGTAAAGATAGACATGCACAGAAAATGAACCAGACTTTGAACACCCATGACACTCAGGGCAAAGGAAGTACAATTCACTCCTTGCTTTACCAATCTCCAGAGGCCTCTTCATTGAAGGGGCATGCATCATGCAAATATATTTGTTGAAGTTAACTATGCAATTTAGGTAATCAGTTAAGGAATGGATAGAGATGAGGTTGTATTTGAAAGTAGGCACATATAACACTCTAACCAAGCTTAACATAAGACCACGAAATGCATCTCCAATTTCTGTCACTTTCACTGTATATCTGTTAGGTAAGGTAACTAGGCAAGGATAGGGCAAGGTTCTAACATTATTTAAAAAGAATTTTCTATATGTCATATGATTTGAGGCTCCACTATTTAATATCCACAAGTCAGTAATTGATTTAGAACATCTACACACGATTGTTTCAGCAATCTCTTTATAGGTAGAATAAGCTAGAATACCTGCGAAGTTTGCAGCTCCACAAGTTATATTGTTGTTCGGACCTTCTCATGTGTTTCTTCCTGGGAATTTCTCCAGTAAACTAAGTAATTGGTTGTACTGCTCCTTTGTTAGGCTCTAAAGTCCCTGACTTTGATTTTCTTCTTCCATCTCCTCACAATCCACACGAACATTTGCAGCAGATGCTGCATTTTCTCCGTTTTGTGAACTTGAAGTCTTGTGGGAAACCATGAATTCTATAACATTTGTCCCTGGTGTGTCCTGGCTTTTTACAATAGTCATAAAACATCCGAGACTTAGCAGATAGATAGTTTGATTTGTTTGAATTGTATGGGTTTATCTCAGTACTGCCTCCTCTCTGGTTGTAATTGGTCCTGAACTAGGCATTGCCAGGTCCATTTGCACTCAGTGAAGTGGACTTCATAACTAATTTGTTATTTGGTCTGACTTCTCTCTATTTTTCTTCTTGGATAAGGATAGAGAAAGCCTGTGCTATGCTGGGCAACAAATTCATCATCAATATACTGTCTCTCACAACTATATAAACTTCATTCAGGCCCATTAGGAGCTGAATTAGTCTTCGATCATGCTCAGCTTTATGCATGTATGCCTTTACACCATAAGTGCATTGGTAATTGCATTGTGCATGTGCATTCAAAGTGTTCAATTCCTTCCAAAGTCGTTTCATTTTCGTATAATACATTGTGATGTACAAAGCTCCTTGACTAAGGTCACTGATTTTCTTTTGCAGCTGATAAAGCTTCGCTTCATTAGTCTGATCATACTTGTCTTCTAACTCTTGCCATAACTCCTTAGCGTCGTTGACATATTGTATACTATCAACTAGATCCTTTGAGAGTGAATTTAGAATCCATGATGTAACCATATCATCGCAACGAGCCCACTGATCATAGGTCGCTTCATTAGTGTTAGGTTTCTTACACTTACCTGTGATGAATACGACTTTGTTCTTTACTGACAAAGCCCTAAGGACTCCTCTTCTCTAGGATTTATATCCAGTTCCGTCAAAAAACAACAGGAACTAGCATTGTTCTGGCACTCTCCGATGGGTGCATATACAGTGGGTTAGTCGAATCCAAATTATCAGCTATACTTTGGGTTTCCTTGTCTCCAGCCATCGATTGAAGTGGATTGTTAGAAGATCGGAGCAGTTGATTACTCAGTTTGAAGAAATTAAATGAAATTTTTCAGAAACCCTTCCGTCAGGGTGTGAGCTCGTACTTTTCGATTTTAAGGATCGAGAAGAGAAATTGCTAAAATTGAGGAAGATTTATGTTGAGAAATTAGAGTTAAGTTCTGATACCATGTCTAAATTGAAGCTAACATGACAGACCAACCTCCATTGTTGGTTGTCCTCAAGCTTCCATAGAGAGAGAAGGTGAAGGTTCGAGAGAAGAAGAAATTGGGAAGATTTTCTGTGTATTTTTATTTCATCCGCTAACTTCAGTATATATACATGTTCATAGAAAAGCAAAACTATTAACAACTAATTACCAAACTACCCTTGTAACTAACTAATCTCAACTAACTAATAAATACAATACACCAATATACTACAATTCAATAATCCCAATACATCAATTAGTTATATTGATAAAACAAAGTCTGCATTCATTTTATCCTGATATGAATAGTAATGCTAACTTATTGATCAATTTAACAACAAAATAATTAAATTCTAGAATTACATATCAAATTGAACTGATCGATCTATTTTATTTATTTTTTTGGAAAATATCTGATTAATAAGTAGAACCCTTTTGGAAATTACTAGGCATACTATAAATTTCAAGCTTCAAAAAAATTAAAGATGTTATGAAACAATAAAAGAAGAAGAGGAGTATTGGAAAGAAAAATAGAGAGAGAATTCTTATTGATTTTGAGATTATTTACAATGGAATAAAACCCTTTATTTATAGGGAGAGGGTGACTTAGCCACGAAGTAATAAACCCTAGAGTCTCTTTAAATATGGACATTCACCATAAATAAAATTCTATTTATAACACTCCCCCTTGAATGTCTATTCAACAGATAATGTGCCTTGTTAAAACCTTAACTAAAATAAAACCCAGTGGTAAAAAAATTCTAGAGAAGGTAAAGAGTACACATATCTAACAATACGCCTTTTGGTTGCCTCATTAAAAACCTTGCAAGGAAAACCCAGTGGGACAAAACCTTGTAAGGAAAAAAGAGTGCAACGCGCATTAACTCCCTCTGATGAGAGCATCAATTCACATCTTTAAGCATTTGCATTCCAATCTTGTACACCATCTTCAGAAGATCTTTGGTAGAGATTTGATAAACAAATCAACATATTAACTTGAACGAATTTGTTTCACCTTGAAATCATCATCCCTAATAGATGTATTATCTTCATATGATCTTGTTGGAATCGTCAGTTCAATATCTTCACATAGAGGTAAAACTCTTACTATCATATTATCATGCTTATAGTTATAGCAAGATACATTTGTGCACAAATTGCACTAAGGAAGTGGTACTTCAAGATCAAGAATTGTATATGCTTCAAGCAACTTAAATCCTTCATGGATTGTCATATAAGTTAAGTCATATAAGCCATATAATAGACTTTAGATGCATATCAAGTTTTCGTGTCATGCTAGACAAATAAGATATCGAAAACTGATTGCACATACCATTGACTTTATACTTTCAAGTATTTGAACAACATAGATAAAATTATATGTCTTTCATATGAAACCAATTCTATTCGAATTGTGTCTCTTCCATTTGGCCAATATTTTTGTGTATGTAGGCGACAAACTTAAGATCCTCATCTATATTTAGCTCTATCATAAACTTAATCTCAGCCTCATTTTCTTACTTGCATGTTCTTGTTTGACTGTTTTATTGACCTTTAGGGTTTAAGTTGTTGTAATTAAAGTGGCATATTAATTTAGTTTCGATCTTTATAGTTTACTTGTTTCATTTGTTTACCCTTGTTTTGTGTGTTTGAAGTTTTTAAGTGTCAAGAGCATGTTGAAATTCTAATCGCTTTCCCCATCTTTTTCTTTGTTAATATCATATGTTCTTTCTTGGTATCTGACTTAATTTTTATTTCAAAAATTAAGTGTTGCCTCATTCTCTATTTGGTTTTTATTTCTAATTTGCCGTTTGTTTAGTCGTGTGTTAGTTTGCTCGAGTAATGTAATTGAGTGTTAATTTTGTCGTGTTGATCACCTCTGTTAGTATACCAACTAATAGCTTGGCCAGTTTGTTGTTTTGATCATGATGAATCAGTTGAATTAATTGATGTAATTGTTGCTTATTTTCTATAAATTAGCTATTTGATTATGGTTCATGTCACGACCCGGATTTCCCACCCTCGGGAGTCGTGATGGCGCCTACTCGTGAAAGCTAGGCAAGTCGCGTAATATAGAATCCCTAACTCTTTTATTTAGCCTTTTTAACAATTTAAACTAACATGTGACTAACAGTGAAATATTAACGATAAATAAATACAAATGGAAGATTTAATCTGGTAAATTAACCATAAACAATACAATAATACCAACATACGTCTCTACCCAGAATCCGGTGTCACAATATCATGGACTGTCTACGAATTACTACATACAAATATCTGAAAGAAAAGTACAATCTATCTCGGAAGCAAATGAAAACAGAATACATATAAAGATAGAAGAGAACGCGGGGCCTGCAGATGCCTGCAGGACTACCTCGGGATCTCTGGCTGGACTGAAGGCAGCCACCCAATGCTACGGTCCAAAAGTTGCCGCTCTGGGATCTGCACATAGTGCAGAGTGTAGTATCAGCACAATCGACCCCATGTGCTAGTAAGTGCCTGGCCTAACCCCGGCGAGGTAGTGACGAGGCTATGACCAGACTACCAAATAAACATGTGTAGTTATATAATATGCAACGAAAAATAAAACAGGAATAAACAAGTAAAGATAGGAGGGGGTACATGCTTTGGGGGAATATCAGTACCAACAGTAAGTTAAGAGAAAAGCATAAGAACAATTTAGAATTTTACAGCCAAACAATAAGGAACTCGTAACTAATCTATGATCACTTCGTATTATCAATTGTTGCGGCGCGCAACCCGATCCCAAAACATAATAACTTTGTTGCGGCGTGCAACCCGATCCCAAAACATAATAACTCTGTTGCGATGTGCAGCCCGATCCATATCATTTATTATTGTTGCGGCATGCAACCCGATCCCATTATATTATTGTTGCGGCGTGCAATCCTATCCAAATATAATATTGTTGCGGCGTGCAACCCGATCTAAATATAATATTGTTGCGGCGTGCAACCCGATCTAAATATAATATTGTTGCGGCGTGCAACCCAATCCAAATATAATATTGTTACGGCATGCAACCCGATCCACATATAATATTGTTGCGGCATGCAACCCAATCCACATATAATATTGTTGCGGCGTACAACCCGATCCAAATATAATATTGTTGCGGCGTGCAACCCGATCTAAATATAATATTGTTGCGGCGTGCAACCCAATCCAAATATAATATTGTTACGGCATGCAACCCGATCCACATATAATATTGTTGCGGCATGCAACCCAATCCACATATAATATTGTTGCGGCGTACAACCCGATCCAAATATAATATTGTTGCGGCGTGCAACCCGATCCCAATATACAATTTAACACCATTCACAATGGAGCCCCGACAAGGGAACAATAAGGGAACAACAAAATCCCGACAAATGAATCAATAACCACATATTAGAATCAAGTAACAACAGAAAATCAGTAAATAAACATAAAGGACAACATAACTCAATTATCTACAAGATTCAGGAAAATCAAGGATAAGTGCACCGGATCACCCTTCGTGCTTTAACACTCCTTACCAAAACAATACTTACAAAAAATAAAGGCCAGGAAATAAATGATGTCACAATAAAATCCCGGCAAGGGAACAACAGTACAACAATCGAATCCCGGCGAGGGAACAACATAAAAAATCCTCTTCTCTTTTCCTTTTTACATTTACCTTACAACTCACTTCACCACTTGAGCCAATGCTCTATAAGGTTCAATTTCCAATTATACTTCCATAATTCATTTTACAACTTGAGCCAACGCTCTTCAATATTCAAATTCCAATATTACTTCCACGAGCCTTGCTCAATGTCACACCTCCTTTTTTACCTACACTCCCGGAAGGGTGTAAAGAAGTTTTTCCAATTAAAGGACAATCGAAATGGGATCATATTATTAAAAGATTCAGAGTCGCCACTTGGGATATTTATGGTGTCCCAAGTCACCGGTTTAAAATCCCGAATCGAGGAAAGGTTGACTCTGTAATACAGTCCGCGGACCAAAAATCCGGGTAAGGAATTCTGTTAACCCGGGAGAAGGTGTTAGGCATTCCCGAGTTCCGTGGTTCTACCATGGTCGCTCAACTGTCATATTTGGATTAACTATCTAATTTTAAATAATTATGAACCTATGTGCAAATTTTAACTTTTAACCGCTATTAATTAATTTTAAAGAAGATTGAACATCGTTTAAAACGTGCCTTTAGATCGCGCCACATGAAATGCACCCGCAATCCTAAACACATTTTAGTTAACGTTTTAAGATTTGAATTTAGGTCACATAAATGCGCACCCGAGTTTAGGAAAGTAATTATTAGAATAACGCGCCTAAAGCGACTACGCATTTGCAATTTTGCGAGGTCCATGAAAAGTTTGCTAAATGGCATGCCTCGATTTCTAGAGGATTAAGTTAATTAAGTGAGGGCCACGCATTTTGAGATTTTGTTTGGCATGGCACACCCCGATTTATTCTAGCCCCAAAAGGTTTCTAAACTAACTCATGAGTGCCATAAACTATTTAC